GTCCCGTGGAGGAGTATATGACTCTGCCAAATCATATTATTGGGAGGTAAATTTCTGATAGAAAGTGTTCGAAGTACAAAGTTTGTTTCAACGTCAAAATTATTATCCCCTCGCAACGGAGTTGTAAGGGATATATTAATGCGCTTGTTTGTGTTTTAGTTTGTCCTTATGCGAAACGAAAAGAAATTTCCCTTTGCATTTGCCCTTGTTTAACTATATTGTAATTTTATAGAAGACAATAACAATAATTTGATGTAACAATAGCACATAAATCAACAAACAAACAAACAAGCAAACAAATATCGTTTAATATTCTTGAGCTACCAAGTTTTACTCTCTAAAAGCTCATACAGATGTTAGGTCTTTTTTCACTTCCTTCAGATTTACTTCTTCTAAGAAAGAGAATATTTTCTTATAAAAAATGATTATACATAATTAATCTACCCACTTTTTTGAAAGTGTAAGTAAAGAACTGTATTCAAGTAAAAACAAAAACACTATAGTAAAACAAGAAGTTCCAAATGATCCGGAATATTTTGTCCAACACTAATTTAACATAAGTAATTGTTAAATCTACACAAGTCGCCTGCGTGGCGCAGTAGTTAGAGTGTTTGTATGCTCTAGAGTCGCAAATTAAGGACTTGATCCTTACGTAGCGGGTTTGAATCCCACTGTGGGACGTGGAAACCAGTCCCTTCGGATAAGACCGTATAAACCGAGGTCCTGTGTCGCAAATTGTGCTGGCACAAAAAAGATCCCTCACTGCGCAATGGCCCTGAGTGCCGAGCATAGCAAACAATTTGCAACACTCCAACTGCAAGTGGTGGCATGTCTCCATACGAGTGAAAAAAATCTTGAGAGGGACGTTAAACAACATAAAAACAAACATATATCCAGACCATGTAGCTGTGTGCCTTCAATTGAGAAGGGATTTCCTGTCCTGAATTCACAACTTGCGTGCGCTATAAAAACAATGGGATTAATCAGCATGCATCGAATAAACATATTTTAGCCACACATCCTTTATTATTGTTATGTAATCATGTCCATGCACTGCAATTCTTGCATCCTTTTCAGGAGATATAGCTCAGTTAGTGAATCTTGAAACTGCTGCGCATATCTATTAATTTTTGATGAAGAAAAAAGGGCATGGCGCTGGAAAAAGTCCATGGTACCGAGAAAAAAGGCACATAACGGAGCGCCATGCTATTTTGCTTCAGATTTATACCACAGGGGAATGGTGCAGCACCATTTTCTTTAAATTTAATGCTACATAAATATGACAAATGCTTTGTTTTTGTTATTGACAATGTTTATTTATTGAGAACCTTATATAAACTCATTGGTGTAATTTTTTCCGAGCTATACAAGATAAATAGCATTTTATTCATTCGATTTTGAGGTGTTGAAGATAAAATTGTTTGTAGTTATGGCGTGAAATTCAATAAAATATTCTTGTTTTGACAAGGATTTCGCTCTTGTTCTTTCCCGAACTTTAATTGCATTACTTTTTTTTTTAATTAAGATTTTTAGCCGGACGCAAAAATTGCGATTTATCCTTAAAAATTGGTATTTATTTTTTTAACGAGAAGTAATTTTAGCAATTTTATAATGCTAACAAGACAAGGTATTACAAATTAAACGCAATTATTTCTTAGCGGCATTCCATTTTAGCGATCTCAGTTCCCTCTTTTATAATGCCAATATATATTCCTCACTAAAATTCTGCTTATACGGTACTTCTCATTTATTTTAATTTAATGAGACTTGAAGTAAAACCCAAACGCAATTCATTTTGAATCCGACTTATGCCTTACTCGCGATAAATGTGTTGATAACTAGGTCTGTGAGATTGATTGATTTTTGTTATCTCATCTATTATATGATTTTTAAGCTCGCAAACATGTCTTTGAATTCATTATTATTTATCTGTCCTTGATATTTTTCCAAAGTTTATCACAGTTGTTAATAATATTACATAATCTTAAATATCATTTGAAGAAATGCAAAGGGGCGTCAGCGATGTATTTCCTTATTGGACATTAAATTAAAGAAAGATATTTTTGAGATAAAAACAAATTGTTTCTTGTTAATTTAAGAATTATTTTAATACTTAAAAACGGTATTTAATGCTTATCTGAAGGAAAGAAGACTTCCAACAACAGTTTTGTACTTTAATTGGGTACAAATATACATGTGCAACATCGCGTCCTAGACTTTGAATATAAAAAGAATGCCTAAAATAAAATTGTTGCAAAAAGCACGCCAATTTCAAGCTTCATTTTGAGACTCTTTTTTGTAGATACTAGTATTATTTTGAAGAATTATCATACATTTTTCTGGCATGGCAGTGGAAATGATTAAGAGCCCTAGTCTGTAAGGACTCTTATACTGCAGCAGTGCTAGGAATGGGCATACATTTTTCTAATCTAGCTATGAGTGAAATAGATGGAGATTAGACGTCGCGCACAGAATAAGGGCTGATTTTGTAACGTCAAAATATCCATTTATGACGTTATTCATACGTCGTTTGAGCGTACAAACGTCAAAAATTTAAGATGATTTAAGATTTAACAAACGAGACTAAACATTCAATTTCCACTCTTGTTTTCTTACGGATATCCGATCCTCAATCAGGAAGGATAACTCCAAAAATTAATATTTAATTTGAAATGCATCAAAATGAAGCCTGAAAATGAAATTTTTTCATGAAACAATTTTCATTTTATTCATCTTCATAAGATTGCAGGTTTTTGGAGGTCTTAGAAAAGGTACTATAAAAGTTGACATGTGTACCCTTTAAAAGGAAAAAAAATTATACAGTTTTAGAGAAATAAGATTTTCTTGAATCCAGCCGTAGATACCAATGCTTATTAGCATGATATGAAATAAGAAGTGATTTATGGTGTCTTGCAATGATAGTTAAAGCCTTTTACACTATATGTATTATAGAATACATGACGGAAATACAAGACAAAAAATACCAAATGCGTATACAAATCATGACAATTTCTCTGAATGCCTGGATACCTATCATTCTTTAACATAAAAATTAAAATATTTGTTGATCAATTTGCAATTAGAAAATGCATTGCTGATATTCCAATTCGCTTTTTCTGCAAAAATATGAGATTTGACAAGTTTCCCTACATAATATGATTAACTTTAATCTTTAATTTTAACGAAATACTGTGGATAAATTTACATAACTTTGTGGATTCAGTGATACTTTTATGAGTTTTTTTTGATTACTTAACTGCTTATTTTATAAACCGGAGGATCGGACTACCTGAAAAATGTCAAACTCTTTGGTGTTTTTATAAATACAAAATTTAATTTATTTGCACATTTTAAAAATAAGATTTTATCTGTAACAAGTGTGTCCATTAAAAAGAGATCACAGCTCACATTAATGATATATACGCCGAGTTAAAAACCGTCATACGAATAATTGTGTCGTTGTTACAAAACTTCCTAGACATCAAAATAGCCCTATCAATCTCTCTTATTACTTGCTTATAATTTTATAAAGAAACCTCTTGATTTGCGCATTGCATTTATCACTTTAGTGTTACGAAAAGAACCTACTGTATACATTTTGTAGTAAAAAGTCTTTACCAAACATTCCATCTTTTCTTGTAACTAGTCTAGATCACGGCATATTACGGAATGCTTCCATTTTACGAACACTCCGAATCGGCCGGTATATTGAAAATTTATCAATGAATATTGCCTGACATCATCACAGGACGTTATAGAAGATTAGTACAAATTGGCAGAAATATCCATGTAGCCAAAACGTAAAAATGACCCAAAATACTAACGCACGTCGTTTACAGTGTTACAAGTTACTCAATTTTAAACCCCAATACTATGCGCGACGTCTAATGAACAATATTCAAGCTCAAAAGTCCATTTTAACAATACACATCAGGAGCAGAGGAAACACGATCCTCTTAAACATCAGAAGAGGGATCAGGTGCATTAAATGAGTGAGAGTTTGATAAAATCATTTCGAGACAAAAATTGGATACCTTTAATAAATCATAAATGAAAACACATTATGTGGGAGTATATATCGCTAATTCATATTTCTGCCAACAAATGAGTACCCGCTGACTTTGCTGCAAAGAAATATAATTATGGAGATAACGAACAGTATTCAAGCTCAAAAATCCATTAAAAAATACAAAAGGAGCAGAGCAAACACGGACACTCCAAAACATCAGGGGGTGATCAAGTGCCATGGAGGAGTATATGAATCTGCCTAATTATAATTTTGGGAGGTATATTTCTTATAGAAAATTTTCCAATTACAAAGTTTGTTTCAACGTCGAAATTATTTTCCCCTTGCAAAGGGGTTGTTAGGGCTATATTCATGCGCTTGTTTATGTTTTAGTTTGTCCTTATGCGAAACGGAAAGGGATGTCCCTTTGCCATGGCCCTTGTTTAACTTCATGTAATTTTACAGAAGAAAAAGAAGAAAAACAAAAAAACAATCAACAAAAACAAACAAAAACAAACATTCTGCCATACATGCAGAAACTGATCATGACAGATTCGATGATGCTGTGGGAATTCCAACCATCTCGTTCATAGTCTATAGTTCGCATATTCCCTGTTGACCTTGTTAATACAATTTACCTCACATTGGAACGTATATTGGCTGACGTGTTTTCTACCATTTTGATAAGCTTATGTTTTTTCTAAATTTGACTACTGTTTCGTCTACCTGTTTCTCAAATAAAAGTTGATGCATTACTTGGGGTAGAATGCTTTGACATGTCGACAAGGGCTGCTAGTACTCCTCATAGCCTGCTGATCTCACTTCTGATATTTCCGGAGGGGGGGGGGGTGTTCATACCCCGCTTTCGGTTTCGGTAGATTTGGTAATTTATCAATTTTGTTAAAAAAATGATGAAAACCTGTAATCACTTCATGCATAAAATGGCTCTTTTTTATTACTGTTCTTTGACTAACACACTAAAGAAATACGCACTCTAACTCTCGATTCCCGCCTACATTTTGCCATCATTTCATTCAATATAAAAGGCATTTTGGCCATAAATACTTTGTTTAATACAAAGAATAGTTCAGTAGGAATTGAGGCATTGTCTTGATACCAGCGCTAAATAGTAAATTATCCCTAACTCCAGCTCTTGAAGAAAAGGGGGGGGGGGCATAAATATATTTATAAAAATAAAATAAATCATTTTTAAATATATTTATAAAATATAATAACAGTAGTAAATTTGTCGATAACAAACATTTTTCAGAATTTACAAGGTCATTATTACTTAGCAGCATTATTTTCAAATATTCACAGCGTCAAGATAGGTTGTAGGTAAACTCTATCCTTGATGGAGAAAAGTGTTTGGCTTACCTTGTATATTCACAAATATTTACATTTGAATATTTAATAATTTGAATAATTGGATACTGGAGAAGATTCAATTGTTTTCTTTTAGAGGGTAATCTTACCTTTATGTATACGTTGGTATAAGAAAACAATATTATTGAAAATGGCACCAAAAAGCAAATAATTAGCAGTGTCATGTTATAGCTGATATCTTCCAAATCAATCCCGACCCAGTTTGGACCACACGACGTTCCGATTGGCTCCAAAACAAACACACTCCACCCTAAAATCGGAGCAAGAGAGATTCCCAGGGCATAAACATACGAAGACAGGGCGATAATTTGTGCGATCAAAGGTCTGATGCAATTGTTGTGGACCACTAAAAGATATCTTGTGTAGGCTATAGCAGCAAGTAATGTGATTTGTGAAAGACCCAAAAAGGTCATTAAAGTTCCGTATGCTGTACATGCCTTTTCTCCTAAGATCCAGTGAGTGGCAAAGCTAGAGATTATCAGCATTGTTAATCCCACCGAACTCATCAATAGGTCACCAAAACAGAGAGCAGCTACAAGAAAACAGTTTGCAGATCGAAGCTGATCACTCTTGAAGAACACAAAGAGAACGGCAATATTACCGCTGGTAGCTGCCACATCAAAGATGAGGAACGAAACACCAAAAACATAATGAATAGCGTCTGGAAGTCTTTCATGGCTCACAACGTTCAACGAACCAGTGGAATTTGTTTCATTCATATTTCTTGAACACTTCAATTTGAGCAGATTTTTAAAATTGTATTAAACGAAAATGAAATGAAAATCTAATGTTATCAATGTTTAGTTATTATTTCTATGTGTACCTGTTCACACAAAGTCCAAGTTATATAAGTCTGAAAATAGCCATAAATGGGTGTAAATTGTTCTATCATTCATTGATCGGTTTCCCAAGTCCGCCTACAGCCTATTTGCAAATGCATTTTCCCAAGACGTGTGGTCATTATTGTCCATCTTTAAGCAACTATTTAAAAGCTATATGAATTTTTCTGGTTGTCCGAAGTAAAATTCAAATTTTTGAATGAAAAAGAGAGTGAACGGTGGTCCATCTCTAGAAACTGCAATCAATGCAAAATTGTGATTAAGACATACATACCATGCCCAGGAAATTGCAGAGGTAAGATCACGTCCCTCGAAGGGATGAGCATTCCGTGTTTACTGGTCACTCCCGCCGTGATCACTGTGTATTAATCAGGAAAACGGAACATCCCTTAGCCAAATTTAATGGAAAACCAAAAAGCCTAAGCCAAACTACGAACCCTTGATAAGTAATACTAGTATTGCTAAAAATGTAATGATGATATTAAGGATTCAGATAGCTTTTTCATAAAGAATAAAATTTGACTATTACAGATTATTTAAGAGGATAGAGTATGGCGTTGTAGCTGGAAATTTGGAATCATAAACTATATGCAGATAAATAAACTTACAAAATCCATTTGCAATTTCATGACAATTTCCCTCTATGTGGAGTATAATGTTGAAAAACATTTCTTTCGTTTTACTGCAAATAAAATGAATATAGCTTTTTTTATGTATAAAATTCATTAAGAATTTTATTAAATTTGTCCTCCCAAGGTGTATTTTTTTCTGCACAAGAAAGGGGGCTTCTTGATTGTTTATTTGTTTGTTTGTTGTATAACGTTCCTCAAGAGAATTTTTCACTATGGAGACGTCACCATTGGCAGTGGAGGGATGCAAATTTACACCAATACTTTGCACTCTGGGCCACAGAGCAGCGAGGAGCCTTTTGCGTGTCAATACCTTCTGCGAAGTGGTTTATATGGTTTATTCCAAAGGACCGATCCCCATGTTCCTCAGAGCATTGGAACCTGCGACGTTAGGATCAGCTCTCACTCTGCGACTCTAGAGCAGGCGTTCAAACCACTGTGCCACAGTGGTTTGAGCGTCGGGCTTCTCGGTAAAATAAGAGTAATACAACCCTTAACTTCCAAATATAAGAACTCTTATGGAAAAGAAGGGAAAATAAAAACTGATTTTCAAAATAAAATGTCTTACTCTGCAAACCCTAAATAAAACCCTTAATAAAATTGATCAAGACACTGAATAATTAGTGAAAAGTTAGTTAGATACCTAATTATTCTCATTAAAAAGGCTTTTTCTGAATCTTAATATCACCCAATACTTACTTCACTTATATAAAGAAAACGAACGGCATTCAAGCTCAAAAGTCCATTAAACAATACAAAATAAGAGCAGAGCAAACGCGATTCTCCAAGACATTAGAGGTGGGATCAGGTGCCATGGAGGAGTGAGCATTCACCTGCCGACCAGTCACACTCGCCGTATGTTTCTTCATCCGTTGACAATTTAGCGTGTTAAAAAACAATCTAACAATTATTACTAAAAATGTCAGTCAGCATTTGATTAATTAACAAAATGTATTTTCTGACAAGATCAATGTATCGATCATAGAGAAAACACGAAATGATGACTTTGAACGAGACTAATGATATTCTTATTTCAGAAACTTGTTTGTCAATAATTCACCTCGTTTGAGACATTGTTCGTGCGTAGAGCATGATCTTGTGTTTCGAATTATATGAGAAATATAACCCCGTTTGCAAATGGTTTATTGCTGCATAAGTAAGCGAAGGTGACGTTAGAAAAGTTTTTTTTTAATTAATTTTTTTTAACACAATTCATTTTATACAGAAACAATAAAAATCTTTGTTACAGAATTGTGTATTTTTACATATAAGAGAGTGAGAGAGAGAGAGAGGGGAGAGAGAGAGAGAGAGAGAGAGAGAGAGAGAGAGAGAAGATAGAGAGAGAGAAGAGAGAGAGAGAAGAGAGAGAGAGAAGAGATAGTTATAGAAAAAGTTGGTTCCACCTGTTCCATTGAGTGTAAAATTTTTCTTTTTCGCCATTTTTATATGATATATTTCTTTGTGTTTGGTAAAATTGATTCAAGTGTGATGTCGCCGATTGCACATTTAGAGTTTTTTTTTGTATATCTAGAAGTATAAATATAATATTTTAGCCATAAAATTATGATATTCGCTATTATTTTTTCCCTCAATGCCTAAAATAAATATTTTTTGTTATGGGCAACTGGAGATTTCTCTGCTGGAGATGATATTCAAAATTTTTAAGGAGTAATTGTACAAGGTCACATTCCCGTAGGATATGCTCAATTGTCTCTCATTCTCTTTGACAAAAATTACACTGCTTAGAATCTACCATCAAGAATAAGAGAAGTATCATCCGCCAGTTGAGAAATCTTTTTTTCTACATTTCCAATGGTAATGCCTTTTATTTTTCCTAATTTGTATAGCTAAAATCTCCGCGCATATCAGAAATATATATGGAGACAAAGGATCACCTTGTCTGCATCCCCTTTGAATTTTATTACATCAGAAAAGTTACCTCCTTGATTAACCGTAGCTTTAATATCAGTGTAGAAGAGAGTGACCCATTTTCTAATGGAAGGGCCAAAATTAAAAAAGTGCAAGGTTTTTTGTATAAAGTTCCAGGAAAGAGAATCAAAAGCCTTTTCAAAATCGATTAATAATAAAAGTCCTGGAATATCTTCTTCTTCTGTAAAGTGCATTATATCATATATCAATCTTATGTTTTCTCCAATATATCTGTTCGAGATAAAACCAGTTTGGTCAGGGTTGATTATTTTATCTAAATATTTTTTTAAAAATCTATTTGCAATAGAGCCAGATGCTATTTTGTATATAGTATTTAGCAATGTAATAGGACGCCAGTTTTTAATGAAATGTCTTGGCTTGTCGCCTTTAGGTAATAATGTTATAACTCCATGCCTTTGTGTAATAGACATACTGTATACAGGGTTATTTTCGCCCCGTGTTATTTTCGCCCTTTCACATTTGGAAATATATTTGCCAAAACGTTTTAAAAAATTCGCCCAAAAAGATTTTTGTTTAAGATATTATACTGTTTACTTTGAATTCGTACCGTTTTAAATTGCCCACTTCCAACGAAAGGGCGAGCAAGTATCTTTCGAAAATTAATTGAAGTCTGAAAATTTCCCTTTAATAAGTAATATTTTCCTGTAACCATAATTAATAGATCTTACAACAAAATACCCAATATATTTCCAAAACATTTAAAAAAAATTCTGTGGAAAAACCATCAGATCCTGGAGATTTGTTAGAATTCATATTCAAAGAGTATTTGAGGCTTTACCTTGTTATTTGTGCCTTCTAAATTTTTTGATTCTTCACAAGAAAGTTTTTTAGCATTTAGTATCTTTAAATTCATTATCTAGATTGAAGTATTTTTTATATATTTAATGGTCTGTAATAGAAAGATTTAAATTTTTCATAGAAAGATTTAATTTCTTTCAAGATATGTGACTGATCATGAATAACCTCACCGTTATTTATTTCTAATTTTGATATAATTTTATTTGTAAAATTTCGAGACTCCAGCTTGCAAAAGTAGCTTGTGGGTTATCAATCGCGTGGCTTGCGTGATAATTTGCATAAACGCATTAAATATGCATTGCATAAAATTATCACGCAAGCCAATCGATTGATCATCGTCATCGTCATGAAATCAAAAAATCTGACAGTTATTCCATTTATTTACATGCTCTTGATTCCACACATCAACGTGCTACAAGTCCCGCTTCTGTATTTATTTGTCCCGTCCGAATGTGATTTTTTTTAACTGTGCCTATCGATGAACCAGTAAATGTTATGTTGAAATAAAGTACATAAATTATTTGTATTTTTATCTCGGACAAAGACATTGGAAATGTAAATATATTACAATTCACGTCTTTTTCAAGTACAACATCTTCTACGAGGGGTGATCAAAAAGTTCGCGAACTAATTGAATAACTACCATACAAGAAACAATATTTGGTTTCAATGTTGATTATATTTTAAATTAATCCTCCCCGATTTTAATGCACTTCAACCACCGTTCTGCGCATGCGCGAATCACGTGATATTGGCGGTCACGTGACCACCTCCGTAGCGTTCTGTCACAAAAGTTGAAAGATTTTTCTGAGTTTTATATTTCTTTCCATGTGAGTTAATTTTTATGACAAGAACAGAAGAATTTGTCAGAAATGGTCAAATTTTGGCAACAGAATGGGTGGATAAGAATATTCTTTCCAAAAATAAGCATGGCGACCATTAAAACACAAATCTTCTGTCTCGGAAGAGACCTTTATTCAAGGTGGATAGAGAATGGGTGCCTCCTTTTTATCATATCTAATATGTTTAAAATCTAAAGTAAACGATATCTTAGGTACTTAATAATTATGTTATTGTTCAAATATTCAACTATTTTTCAAAGTGTAAATTGGAGGTCTTTGATAGCAAATTGCTTAATAAAGAACACATATCTTTTCAAACTTGCTTTCACTGGGCAAGATGACAAGTACCATTTTTAACCATCTGCCTTCCTTCACTAAAACGATCAATCCAATCATTAATTGAATTTATGGGAACTCAGTTATCTTAATAAACTGTGAACAAATTATTATATGATACTGAAGAGGGATTTCTAAGATATACAATAAATTGTACAGCCGTTATTGAACGAGTTCGACTGAGACAAGCATTTTTCGTCACAAGTGACCTACATAGTGACGTCATTTTCACATTGTGACGTCACAAACAAGGAGAAAATCTTTATTCAGCATATGCTATTTATAGACCTTGTGTATCACTCTGTGTGTACCGAATTTCATTCTA